TACCTGCCTGTCAGCCTTCCATCTGTGCACAAACTTATCTCGTGCCCTCATTGGTCATGTGCGCGTTCGTGTGTGTTGGAGGAGGGGCTCTGTAAGGAAGTGGCAGATTTCTTCCGGTTGCGTATTTTCAAATTCTAGCCACTCGAGCCGGTTTCTCCAAAATTACCTACCCCATTTTTAAAAGACAAAATACATGAATACAAGTTACAGTGAGATGTGAATAGTTCAATTTAAAACAGCAGCNAAAAACATGTCATCTGTGGAAGCCGTGGCGCTGTAAAAAGCACGACCAATCATCTGAGCCGGGCCGGCTAAATTAACTGGATGGCCTACCTGCCTGTCAGCCTTCCATCTGTGCACAAACTTATCTCGTGCCCTCATTGGTCATGTGCGCGTTCGTGTGTGTTGGAGGAGGGGCTCTGTAAGGAAGTGGCAGATTTCTTCCGGTTGCGTATTTTCAAATTCTAGCGCACTCAAGTTGGTTTCTCCAAAATTACCTACCCCACCTTTAAGTAATTAATTATTTTCTTAACTTTTCTTAAAGGTCCCATGTCATGCTTTTCTGGTTATTACCCGTCCCCTTGTGTTTTATGTAGCTTGTTATGCATGTAAACGGTCTGCAGAGTCACAAACCCTCAAAGTACACCCTGTAGCGAGTAAAACTCTAACACAGAAAAGACCTGTCTATGCTGCCCCAGAACGCCTCGTTGGAGATTTCTCTTTTTTCATTTTTTACTTCTTGGGTATAGTGACGTATTTCGGGTGTAGTTACGTCCGCGGAGCCGTTACGTTTGGACCAATCCGCGGAATTCGTCACACACACACACTCGGCGGGACGTTGCGAGGCGCGCTGCTGCGAGGAGCACTGTGAGCTGGGTCACTGGTCACTGTGAGCTGGGTCACTGGTGTGGGCTCGGCGAGACAGCACGGAACTCAGCCTGGGCACACACATAATTATGATCAGTAGAAATGGCCATGACATGGGACTTTTAAGGCTGAAATGATATGTGGACTTTCAATTTGTTCCCCAAATCTTGCACTAGAGCTGTGATAGGAATGTGTGTATAGAGTTGTCCAGAAATGAGTCCTAAACCCAGAAATAAGTTAACATTTTACCATTTCCCTCCCTCCCAAGTCAGGGTTTTTGTTGTTGAGTTTTTGGTTTGATTCCCGAAATAAGCTCTGTGGTTAACACAAGTTTACAAAAATGTTTATGTTTTGTACTACATCATAAATACGTCAGTTAATACCCCATACATGTCTGAATCTTTACGTGTCATAAAACAGCGGTTGCTAACAAGTGTCTAAATAAGACTACTTAATGTCATCATGCAGAACATAGCCACCTTAAGCTTAGCGGTGGCGACGTGAAGTAATGCGACCATGATGTAGTTTGTTTCTAGCGCTTAGCGCTTCAAATAATATACAAGTGGACATGTAAGTTTGCCACAAATCTTATTTTCTGCAATATTCCAAAGGAAAAATTCCTTTTGCTTTACTCCAGGATGCTAACCTCTGGTTTGGCATGGAAAAATACGTAATCATTGCAGCACTCTATTGTTTTAAGATGTATTACCTAAAAGTCACATGATCTAAAGTTGACACCTCAGTACGAGACAGGTAAAAAATGGAAACAGATTTGGCTGTTCAATGAAAAGTCACTTGTTGAATTTGGTCTTAACTACTTTCTACATTTGGTCTAAAGCTCAACAATCCATCTGTTATTCCACGGTTCGGTTCCTTTCTGGGAAAACCCCCCCTCCCTCTCTTTCCCCAGCGCAGGTTCCCGGTTCACATTCATCGCTGTCGGTGGGTTGGTGACACTATCAACTCGTCGAGCGGTGAATGACAACCGTGTCCATGCACGGCCACGTGTACTGAAGTGATGTCTTGTTTATCTGTGTAAGCGGTTTGCAGCTGCCCAGTTGAAGGGTTGTCATTTTGAATAAGAAATATTTTGTCAAAGAAATCAGCACATCAATAAAGACTTTGGAACAACATGTTGAACTTGTGGTCTATTTTGTTTTATTACGCAATAAAGAGTCATTTCTACCATAAATAGCATGTGAATGTGAAATCAAACAATTTAACACAGTGTTTAAGCAATAAATAATTAAAACTAAAATATTGGATCATATATCAAATCATTGGAAACATGTTTTCCCATCAATGCCTCAATGTTTGTGTGGAAAAAACGGTATTAAGGTAGAGGTCAGACTACTGAAGACCTGTCGAAAGAAAAAGAAGGATATTAGTATACTACTTTTTTGTCAATTGGGTCAATCTGTTAATTAATTGGTGTGTATTTATCCACTTACACTGACTGCCCTACATCTTCTTGTGTCTGCGACGAGAGGCCTTGTAAATCTCCATAAGCAGAGTGTCCTTGTTGTTCCTGATGTTAGCTTTCGCCGTCTCCAACACAAACTCAATCCTCTCCTGGTTTAAGGGAAGCTGGAAGGTGGAGAACTCCTTCATCTTTGCTTGGACTTCCTCCACATCTGGACCAGAACAAAATCATTTAGCACCAGGAACATATTTGACATCAGAGTTTTGTGTTGTGTCCTATGGTGCAACAAACCTTTACAGTTGTGTCTGTTGAAGAGCGGAATGTAAATAATGGTGGGTTCCTTCTCTTTTCCCTCGAACACATAGCAGTCCTCCGGCCAGTCTTTCGCCTCAAAGATCCTGTCGTCTATCTCTGGGAAAGGCTTCTTCATTGCCTTTGCGTAATCTCTGGCCTCACTCAGCGTCTGTGCAGAGAACAGCAAGTTTATAACGCATCCGCCAGACCGGGGCTCCATCAATATACAAAACACCAGCAAGCCCCCTGCCTCACCTCGAAGGTTTGACTAGACCCCGAATCAAGAGCGATGAGGAGGTCTGCATCTCTTTTTTCACCCAGGAAGGGGGGGAAAGGCATGTTCATCATCAAACCCCCGTCTATCAGCTGCAGATGCTCCTCTCCGCTGATGCATGACGGCACCTCAGCACCTTCCCAGCAACACACAGCACAATATAGCAACTGCTCGTTCTTGTTGATTGTTATGGCCATCTGTCTGGAAAATCGCAGTATTGTAAATGTGATTAATGTACAGGTTTTAGGCTTGGTGACAGAAGTTCACCTGGGTATTGGTAGAGGAAGTTTTCAGTTGTTCCCCATTCCCAGTTTCCAATTATAGGGAGGCCTTTTTGGATCATCCAAGAGACTGTGAAAACAGAGCACAACCAAATGAAGCGAGTTACTTTGAAATTAAAATATGTTGTTTGTCAATTGGCAGCAGCAAAACCAGCTGTAAAAACATCTTCCAATCAATGCAGAAGTTATGAAGAAACTTTAGGATTCAGTGGGCGTTGTGCTTGTTTTCATCTAATGACATAGGCCCTCTCATTGTAGCTCTGTCTTTGGTCTCAACAATCTCTTATGGAACATTTCTGTCTCTTTAGCTGCTCAATTATCCACCATGTTGGCTCTGTGTCTGTCTGTGGTTTGATGCTGAGCTAAAAGATTACTAAAAAGTATTGCTTGAATCAAGTTTTTGGATTAAAAGCTTTCTGTTAAACATTGCTATGTAAAATAAAACCCAATCCAATATTACAAAAATCAATAAATCAAAGAAATTATGATTGAGAATAAATCCTCCCTCTAGTTCAAGTATTTTCTGTGCCAGCAGTGGGACAGATGCTAAAAAAACAATTGCTTTGGTAAAAAGGTTGCAGAGCACAATCAATAGAATATTAGAACTGACCTTTCTCTTGGACTGGTCCTTCACTTAGACTATCGCTCCAGGTCTGTAACGGTTCCATCACTTTCTGACGCCCCTGCTCAAGGATCCCTTAAAAAATAAAAATTCATTGTTGATGTCATGATAGTTTTTGTATTTAAAGTTTTATTTTGAAATGTATTTTCTCTTTGTGTCTTGTCCAGTTTTACTTCCTGACTGGCTGATTGTGTCACCCCCCCTCTCCAGCTGTGTGTTGTCTCTGTGATCAGTCTTGTGTGTATTTTGGTCTGTCTTCCCTTGTGTTCTTTGTTAGATCGTCGTCTATGTTCCTGCCTGTTTCCCCAAGTTCCTGTCTGCATTTCTGCTCCTGTTCCTCGTGCCCTCTGGTTTCTACATGTTTAGTTTTCTCTTGTTTTTGATTTACCTGGTCTGGTCCCCCTCTTTTTATCAGATTTTTAATTGTATTACCAGCTTCCTGTGTTTTACTGCGTTTGGGTCCTATCGGTTACCAAATCCTTGACAGTTGAGCCATTTTGATGACCCCTAAACTGCTTATGTACATCTTCACAATCTTTGTTGTTTTTATTACCGTCCAGTGATTTCTTCATGTTTTCCATCTTAGACAGAGCAGTGGTAACCGAACCCAACAGACCTGAGCACACCCACACACACGGTAAGTTACTGTCATGAAAAATGGTTTTGTTAATTTGTTTGAATTTGAGTGAAAAACATTTTTTTTTTACCTTTCATCCAGTCAGGGAAATAGACTAGCATTTTCTCTTCATCTGCTATAGCGCTGGTCATTATACCTGCATGACAAAGCAGATATATAATGCACACACTGTAAAAAAAAAAGTATGCTGCAGTACCAGCTTCTAGCTTTTAGTTTGATATGCACAAAGGACTGGGTTTAAACAAGCCAGAGGCCACCATACCGTCAGATAGAGCTCATATATATTTATATGTGTGACTTTGTGCTGTAAGGGATTTTTTTCATCTTGTGAAGGAGCCAGGTTACCCCCGTTAATTCTAAGCTAAGCTAATCACCTGATACTGACTTTGGTATGCTGTAGGAAGAATAAATCACAAGTGATCAGATTTAACTGTAGGGTTATTATATTTTGATCGTACTTTCATAATGTTGGAGGCCTGCAATAATTATAAAAGATCTTGCAGAGTTTGATAAATCTTAAACGTATTCCCTAGAATAAGTCAAAGTCCAGAAACACTGGATCGTTCACTCCACAACAGCATTATCGTTACTGTGCTTTGTCGGGTAAAAGTGCATTTCTTTCAAATTGCCAAACCCGGGATTGGTAGAGCAGGCATTTAAAAACGTATTACATTTAAAAAATTGAGATTATGTTAAAGCAGTGGCTCAATCTGTAGGGACTTGCCCATGGGACCGAAGGGTCGCCGGATCGTGCCCCGAATCCCGATCGACCAAAAAAACTACGTAGTGGACTGATAGCTAGATAGGTGCCTGGGCCCTGCCGAGGTGCCCTAGAGCAAGGCACCGAACCCCCAACTGCTCCCCGGCGCCGGCTAGACCTTCTTCTTCTTCTTCTTCTTCTTCTTCTTCTTCTTCTTCTTCTTCTTCTATTTTACGGCATACTTGATGCTGATTGGTAAATTCCGTAGTCATTCTGTGGTCTGCTCTTTTTGCGGACCGCTGCAGGACACACTGATCAAGGGACTATGTGCGGTCATATCAATCCGCAGAATGAAGTCCGGTCAATTGAACGTCAACGGGGCCAAAAATAAATATTTGTTTCCCCCCGTCAGCAAACACAGTGGATTCTTTTTTTTAATATACTTTTTTATATTTCTGGATAGCAAGAACACTTTGGATTCAAGATGGCTTGACTTTCCCCAGTGAAGAAAAGGAAGCCAAAGAAAACAGACAGCAAGTAAACACTAATGCTGCGTTCACAGCGGACGCGATGCGATGTTTGGGGGCGGCGCGATTGCATGTAAAGTCAATGCAGAGACGCGTCAGATGCAAATTCAATCCGACGGCGCGGATGAAGCGGTGGACGCAATCACGCGATTGAGGCGATTGAACGGTGCCGCGTCAAACGCGAGAGTTCAATTTTTTCAACTCGAGCGTCAAATTCAGGTCAAGCGTTCTCGCGGAAGCCAATCAGCGGTGAGGATCTCAGCCTGCCGTCACTGACGTTCAACCAGAAAACATCAACACATTAGCCGTTAGCACAAACTCAGACCTCACAGCTCCTCATATCTGTTTAGAAACTGGACAAAAGTTAAACAAGTACAAACCACATACTTTCTGTGTCATGGCGAATACAGTCGCTGCTTTATTTATGTCTGTAGGCCGTCGTTGTGAGTGTGGACGGAGCATATTCAACATTAGCTTAGCCTGATCGATCCGATCTCCATTCAGAAAACAAGCATTTTAAAAGGTGTTTCTCCTGCCGTCTGTCTGCAGACTTGTCAAAGCATTAATTCATGGTTTTTACTAACCGGTATCAGTATGTTGTTACGTCGGCATCATTTAGAAACGTGTATTACAATTTAATCACCGTAAAATATGTTCATTTTGTTGTAGTTGTAGCTCCCGAGCCGGTGCGTCTTGTTTGAAGGATGAGAGTAAACACAGCTGGCAGCCGCGGTGAAACTTGAGCGTTTAGTCAGAGCAAAGCGAATATTCGCATCGCGTCCGGTGTGAACGCAGCATTACAGAGCCCTCTCCTCCAACACACACGAACGCGCACATGACCAATGAGGGCACGAGATAAGTTTGTGCACAGATGGAAGGCTGACAGGCAGGTAGGCCATCCAGTTATTTTAGGCCGGCTCAGATGATGACATTTTTTTATGGATTTTTTGTCAAAGCACTTCAGATATTCATTGCTATCGGGATTTTAAGAGCATTCCATGGAATATAACAATAAGCGTATCTCGAGCCGGTTTCTCAAACTTTCCTACCCCACCTTTAATTAAACCCGAATGACATATGTTGGTGACATTTTGGGGAAAGCTCTGTTTTTGGACAATGTTTAGCAAATGTTTTAAGAAAATGAACCCCCAATCATATTCAGTTTGCGATGATATTAAAAACAATCACCGATTAAGCATTTGGACACAATATAATGACTGAATAAGGCCAATAGGAGGGAGTATGTGGGAGAGATTTTAGCCTTTGCAGACCATTTACATGCACAAAACCTATACAACACTACAGGAGAGGGGAAACCCCAAACAGCAAAATAGGGCCTCTGTAAAAGGTTTGCAAAGTGTAAAAAAAAAGGCAAGAACTTCATTGTGTTCACATGACTCTACCTGTGCAAAACTACAGTATCTGCTAACGCCAGGCCACATTGCGTGTCAAACAAGCTTCACACGATGATATATATACACACACACACACACACACACACACACACACACACAGCAGCTGAGTGTTTCAATGGCTTCCTCCATTTCTCCCCAGATCCCAGGATCGGAGGAGGAGTAATTTATTCTTAAGGAGGTAAGGAGCGACTGCACAACAACAAATGTAATCCTCCCTACCCCATGCAGAGACAATCTGGCAACATGTTGGCTAACAGATGAAAGAATGAGGAATACCGGAGAAAAAAGAAAAACTTGCTGCAATCTGCCACCGTCTGGCATTAGCGTGCAAGAGACCACATCTCATTTTGAGCTAAAACGACCATTTCCTGCTCTTTAAATTATACAATATTAGAATGAATGCTCTCAACGACTATTGGATGGATTACTCTTTAACTTCCAACTGACATTCATGGTCCACAGAGGATGAATCATAGTGGGTTTTCTTCACCATTAGGTTGACAATAAACCACATATTTCTTTCTGTATACTATTTTTGACAAAACACCAATTCCCTGCTCTTACAAACAATACAATATATCCAATTGGTCTGTCCACAACTCCGGTCAAGACACAAATATCTCAAACTGCTTTTGGGTTGATTTCTCGCACAGATATTCGTGGTCCACAGAGGATGAATCAAAGTCACTTGTTCACATGTTGACGTCTGTGGTTTTGGGTAAAACGACTTAAGACGTGTTCATGGTGTTTGTTTCACATTCATTTTTCCCTTGGTCTTTTTGGTGCAGTTATCATTTCAAGATTTAACAACAAATACCTGAAACTAATAGGCTTACTGCCACGAGCGTACTTTTTTGTGCCAATAGTAAATATTGTAAGTATGCCAATAATACTAAACAATAAATGGACTTCATTTATATAGCGCACTCTTTTACGCCTCCTCAAAAAGCTTTGCAAACAAGTCAGCATTCACACAGAGGCAGGGGCACCATGCAATGTAGCTATGGGGAGCTAACACACACACACACACACACACACACACACACACACACACACACCCCCTTTGGTCATCGGGATCAACTTGGGGTTTAGTATCTTGCCAGAGAACATATCGACATGTTGACTTCAAGGGCTGCGATTGAACCGACAACCTTTCCATTTGAAGACGTTCTCACTACCGCTGACTAAAATCCTGATATGTTGTGGATATGCCCGTTGTGCATGGATAAAGAAGTGGAGCGGTACATGTATAAAAAGAATCAGCTTCATCAATAAAACATACAAGTAAAACATTTAAAGTCGGTAGGGGGTTAGACACGCACAACAAGAATGTACATTTCCTCCAAGTGTGCATTAATAGGGTAGTTTTTTTTATTGTTTCAATCAATGGCGTTATGTGGTGGTGAATGTAACGAATTCACATTAGCCTCAAACGACTCTTATGGGGCATTTTGCGCCAAATCCTATAATTACAAAATTAATGAAGGAGGGTCCTCGGGGCCAAACTGTGGCTTTATGAGTCTGCAGGTTAATTCATCAGCAGGTAGTTGGCATGAAGACGTTGATAAGCGGCTGAAATTCGAGGTGGTCCGGGGTTCACGCCACACACCAAGTCTTGCAAACACGAGGGGATCAACCGATTGCGAGGTGGGTGGGGGGCTTCTGAAGGTAAAGATTACATTTTCACACTGATTAAGGGATAAGAGGCTTTGGCGTAGCTCCAGGCACCATGGGAGAGAGTGGGTGCGTGTGTGTGTGTGTGCGCGCACTTCCTTGTTCACACCAGCATGACACTGAAGGCAATTATGGTTTTAAGCCAGCGGGTTGGAATCAATTATCACATGCCAACTTCCTCAAGCCCATCTGTCTGGGGTTTTCTCACCTAAGAATAAAAAATTCATTCATCTACTTCAATTATCTCCACTTAATCAAGTGATCTCATTACGAGGATTAAAAATGCATACATTTGTCGCTTCTGCTCTTAACTTTGTAATCACTGTCCAACACTTTTTGCTGCACCTGCTTCAGTGTCACGGCAGCTTATAACAGACAGACTCTGCTGGACATGTCTTGAATGGTTTATGACAACACCTGATTTGATTGATGCAGGGCACAATACAACCTTTAATGGAATGTTTCAAGCCCAATGTTGCAAAAATCAAGACCCAACACAACCTAGTTTCAGATTTGGGTCAAAGTTAGCTCTTGTTGTAAACCTGACAATTAAAAAGCGAGACTTTTAAATGTGTGAAGAGTAGACTTACGGTGCTACGTTCGATTGGCTGAAGTAATGCAATCCCTTGCCTTCTCTAACACGGCATATATACACGTTTGTAAAAGTCATGCACAAAATATAAATGCAGGCACTTTTAAAATGGCCCATAAATAAATCTATTTTCCAACACGTCATTCTTCGATTTGTTTCCATCAAATTTGCATTTCTCAAAGATTTTCAAGGGCCTGTGAAAAACCATCAGGGATACTGATAGCAGTCTTAAACATCACCAATATCCCTGCAGGTGATGATAACATGTCGAACGTCTGACCGAGTTACTCACTCAAGCTGTTAGTTGAAACTCAAGACTGATTAATAACTGAGAGCGCACTCATCATTCATCCCTTCTGCACTCAAACAAATTCTTGAAAGGCTTTTAACTTGATTTATTACTGTGATACAATTAACTATTTATCGTGTAAATTGGAATGATCCACATCTGTGCTCCCGGGTGTATCTGTGTGTTTTCTTCCTGTGTACATGACAGAAGCTTCTGCTCATCACCAAATGCCCCTCGCGGGATTAATAAAGTTGTTGATTGCTAGATGTGAAGTAGTGACACACTGACACTTGGTCTTAGCTGTGTTCCAGAAAACCTTTATCTGATACAGTCATATTAAAGTGGCCCCTATTATGTTTACTAGACCTTGAGTAGAGATTAGGTTTAAGGTGTCTAACATTTTGGCCATCAACATTTTTTTAAGTGACACAAGGAGGTGGAGTTTGGTACAAGAGGACAGAAAGGTTACCTTGAGATTTCCTTTTCCTACAATGTACGTTTTAGTGCATTTAAATGGTCTGCAATGGTTAAAATCCATCTCTAATAGAGATGGATTTTAACCATTGCAGACCATTTAAATGCACTAAAACGTACATTGTAGGAAAAGGAAATCTCAAGGTAACCTTTCTGTCCTCTTGTACCANCTGGGCGGGTTGCAAACCAAGCCCCGTAAAAGTTTTGTGAAACCGCCATTGTATTTGCTGGCATTAGCATTGTTAGCATTAGCCCCGGCAGAGAAATTAACACCAACGGAGAGAGGCCAACTTATGGCAACACAAAAGAAAACATGGGAGCGGTGGAGATGAGGAGGTGTCGGCGTTCTGGTGATTTACTCGAAGGCTTCAGTAGAAGCTGCTGGGAGTCCCAGCAGCTTCTACTGAAGCCAGTCCCTAACTCCGGGGACTTCGGCTGGCAGTATACTCCGTGAAGTTGTTTGCGTCCTGCCAGTAAAGCCAAAGCAGAAGAAGAAGTGATGTCAGCGGCTTCATTTGCGTAATCTTCCCGCCGGGAACTTATTCCGGTGTGAACGCCATCGGCTCTTTAGTTCATCAGAACTATAGAGTTCTCATGAACTAAGTACTTGGTGTGAAAGCACCTATGTATGTAAAGAAAAGCCAAAATACCAGGATAGTAAGATGTATGCATGCTTTTCTGGCTTATCAGGGGATATATTAGCCAGTGGTGCAATGTTATGACAAATTAGTGTCCCACTTGTATGCAACACTTAAGATGGATGGATTGCAAATGTCCAATAATGCAAACAAACTACACAAATACCAACCTCTTTCAAGCCGAGCTAAATCTCAGATGACCCTGATTGCATTTCTCAGATTTTAGGCAACAAGATACTTGAGGCTGTTGCTCTGCCTTTAGCCCAGGTTTCAATTGTCCTGCTGTAGGATCATCTAACACCACTAGAGGTCATCATATCTGAGGTTAACATGAAACCTTCTTCATATGTATGAAGGGGAAATCAACACATCTACAATAGGAAGACTTTTTCAGAGAGGGGTGTTTTGTTTTTTTCAAAATCTTTGTGATACATTTTTTTCCAATGGGATGTTTTATAAAACCTTACTGCAACATTAAAACTGTATTTTAAGATTTAAATGATTATGACAAAGTATGAATTGTTAAGGACTTTGTGCCCGACGTTTTGAACCCTGCGAGTTCCAGTTTGGCCCAAGGTCACATATCAAGATATCAAAACTGCCACATTGTTGTTTTTAATGACTATATCATGTATTTTACATTCTCCAATAATGTTGGCTGTAGATGCGTAAGTAATTGGCATTGCATCCTCCAGTACCCTTTCAACACACTTGTATAATTATGTAGCTTGATTTAGTTCCATTCACTCTACGGTAGTTAATGTTTCTTTTTTTTGCAGGTTTCAGGCTCAGGACCTGGAGGTCCAGCTGAGTGACGAGCTGGCCGGCTCCCTGCGACAACTCAAGGTACTTCGCTGGTTGTGTTTAATGTTCACGAGCTTATCCAGTGTCAACCTGTCAGTGAGGACACGAGTCTTTTATCTGTAATGAGTTTTGCTTCATTTACTCGGTGTATTGTCTTCTAAGCTTGATCCTGTTCTCTAATACTGCCACGACCCACTTTCCCCCGGGCGTCATTACAGTTTCATTTGATCTAATTGCCGGTGGAAAATTCCCTGCTTCCCCCTCTTATCTCCTGCCCTTATGGCTCTGAGTAAAACTCAAAGCAGCCTTTGTGATGTGAACGGGATTTTATAATTTGTGTGGGAATTGTGCAGAGTGATATTTTGTCTCACATGGATGTCTCTGGGCTTTCCCCCCCCCTGTAATGCTGGTACTCTGCAGCCAGAGGGCAGCGTCCTCAAGGATCGCTTCAAGAGCATGCAGAAGAGGAACCTGATCGAACCCAGAGAAAGAGCCAAGTAAGGACCTCTTGCGTAACGTCTCCTCAAAGCCTCTCAGTGGTTTACAGATTAAAACGGTGTCTGTTTATTAATGTTTCTACTCTACCCTCCCCCCATCTCTTAGGTTCAAGAGGAGACTCAAAGTGAAGTATCAGGAGAAGAGGGCTTTTAGAGAGATCACTTAAATGCCGACCCTCAAACCACAGGAGCTGAACTCAAGAGGCTGGGCAGCGTTTTAAAGCCACAAAGACATCCTAATGGAACGGTGTACATACGACTGAATGAGGGGCCCGTTTGACCCTTTCAGACAATTTCAACTGCTAACAATTTAATATGGAAAATCAATGATACGTGAAAAAAAAATATGAAAGTGTTGATTGTAAGTGTAGTGCATTTGCTCTACTGGTTTCATGTTTTAATATATCTTTTCACACATAATGTTTCAGTGTGTTATTTAAAGGATCTCTGTGACATGTCCATGCTTTAATGTTCAGAAACCTCTATACTGCTTGTGCTGCAGCACCTCTTTTCACCCTCTCTCTGAAACCAGAGCCCAGTCTGCTCTGATTGGTTAGCTGGCTGGCTCTGCTGCGATTGGT